GAGGGGGAGGAGAGGGGGGAGGAGTGTTTGTGGTTTTTTTTTTAAATAAGGTGTGGATTAAGGATAGGAAAATGGGTGCTTATTGCAACTTGTTTTCAAGGCCTAGGCCCAAATTCGGTTACTTTTACTGCATCCCCAGACTTCTGTCCACAAATAAACATACGGAGCCTTTTACTTAAGCAAGGATTCTATCTGCTGAAGTGCCGAATCCTTCATCCCATCATTTCTAACATTTACCTCCCCCTCCATTAGCAGTATGATCCCTCATGAATACACCCATGGACAGTCAATTCAAATGTATAATCATATGTCACTGGTTGAGTCTCTAGAGGAAAGTTACAGTTTAGCTTTTGATACTCACTCTTTAGCTTGTCTCAAAATGATATTTGACTTGGGAATAAATTACTGGAGTTATTCTGACTTTTCCTAGTTTGGGATGTTCTTGGCGCTTTCTGTTTCTCTCCCTTAAGCAGATTTATTATTGAACTTAATAGAACTAGAGAGCTTTGGGGTTTTGTTTTATTTTTTTTAACATGGAGGAAAGCAGTTATAGTTTTTGCCATATACAGTGGGAGTGCATTTCAACTGAAAAATCAAAGTGGCTGGAAGTAAGAGTAGTCATGTTGCTGCATAGAACTGCTTGCCTGGACCAAAGGCGCACAAGCCCGACAGCTCAGCTCAGCCTATGGTCACCTGGTGAAGCGCAGGGTGTACTTACTGCACCACAATACGCAGGGTGCACCTACTCCACACTGCTTTAAGGTGAGGTCTGCCTGCCCACACAGCTCCCTCCTTATGCAGTATCAGGCCAAACTAGGGAGGATGAAATGAGAATGACTGCACCAAACGCAGTCTCTCCACAAGGCATATAGCCAGTTCGAATACTAAGAAAGCCTGGACTAAAGCACAGGCTTGGCACCATCCTTGGGTTATTGTTTAAACATATGGGGGAGCCCAAAGGGCAGTAAATTTTTATTTACTTTCAGGTTTTTAATGAGTAAATTTTAAGTGCCCATTGTGATGGTTTTCTATTTCAACAATTTATTAGATGTTAAGGCCAACAGGACTGCCCGAGCTTCTGCCTACTAAAAAGCCATGTCTTTGATGAAGCTCCAGTGCCTCGCTAAGAATCCCACTCTGAATGAGCCTCTTCCCCCCTCTGCTCCAAAGCAGTTTCTTGGGATGCTGACTCATCCCACAAACTAAAGCATGCCCCGTGCTACAAAAGCATGCTCCTCTGTTTCACTCTGGCCCAAAATTCCCTGCAAAACCTTGGAGCCTTTTCACACCTAGTAACAAGACACGATTCCTCTGTTCCGCTCAGAGCCCAAATTTTTGAGTTTTCACATTCCACCTTGTACACAGAAGTTCTTTCAGCATCAATCAATTCATGATACAAAAGAATCTTTCCAGGAATAAGCAATCAAAATTACCATTATGCAACATACATTGTTGACTCCAGCAGGATGTTCCCCAATAAGAGGGAAATAATTGCTGAGCGACTCCCGCAGAGTCAGTTACTAACAGCTCCAGAAATCAGTCTAATAAATGGGTTGTCCATAAGAACGTGAACTCATACAATGCATCTGTCTCAGGCTGTCTGTTAGGGCTTTGAAAGCCCTTAGTTTTGGCACCTGTATAACCACACTTTGTAAATGCCTCTTTTCACAACTGAAACGTTCTTTCTGTGCTGTACAGAAGTTCACTTGAACCAGAGCAGCCCAACCAGTGAATTCCCCAGCTACAGTGAAAACGGAAATGATACCAGTTTACTTGTTTCACCCGTTCTGGTGGCTGGAGTAGTGATCGGACTTGTGCTGTTTCTATCCTGCGTTACAATCATCATTGGCAGCCTGCGAAAGGACGGACGGTTAAGACATCCACATCTGAGGAGAGATGCTGTTTATGGTAAGATAGCTGGTTATAGCAAGATAATGCAGTGTGACAGGCAACAAAAAGCATCTGGCCACTATACAAGGGATAAAAAAAAATAAAATCATTAAAAATAGGATGAGTAGGTCACAGGGAGCTTTGTAGTTTAATAGCATCTTTGTGCTGGCACTGAATTCACATAGTGCAAGCTCCATAGTTAATGGTTAACAAAAACAAGGCCAGTGCCTACAGCATTTCTTAAACAGCTTATTCCCTTGATCATAGAATAGCTTGAATTGGAAGGGACCTTTAAAGGCCACATAGTCCAACCCCCTGCCATAAGCAGGGACATCTTTAGCTAGAGCAGGTTGCTCAGTGCCCTGTCCAACCAGACCTTGAATGTTTCCAGGGATGGGGCATCTACCACCTCTCTGGGCTACAGTATAAGATTTGTTCTCCATCAGTAGATTTCTGACAGTTTATTTTTATATCTCATTACAGCCTTGGTGTAGCATATAATGTCATTTCTATTTGTTGGAAAGCCAGGAATCTTTTCACTTCTGCAGTGTGCACCAGCCTACAATGACTGGGCAATTACTTTTCTGACAATGAAAGTTAATAACTGGATATAAACAGAACAACAGGGCATCAACATGTCCTTACAATGGTCATCATCATGAAAGAGACAGGTTTGCTATCAAAAAACTGCCCCCCCCGACAAAAATCCCCCGTACTTTAAAAGGATTTGGGAATATGAAGGTGTTAATTGTAGAATTATATTTCTGGCCAATTTGGGGTTTGCTGATCAGGAGTTACAAGCCACTTTTGTCAAGGAAGTGACAGAATCTGACTATTTCTATATTTAAGGAAAAACCAGTTAAAAAAAGTTACTGTAAGTCTTCAGCTAGTAAAAATTCAAATGATAAATGGATTAATGAATTGAGTGGAGCATTAACAAATTTTATCATCTGTGGTTAGGCTCCTGTATCTGTAGTTTGTTACGAGAGCACAGCAGTTTGCATATTGTTTTTTTCTGTATATAGAAAAGATAATGATAGCGAGCCACATAAAAATGCATTGACTCAAACCTTGATTTTACTGAGGTAAATCAAGTATCCACTGAAGTGAAGTGCACTTCATTTAATTATTTGGACCAGGAATTTACATGTCTAAAAGAAACACATTTCCTAGGATCAATTTGTCCACCCGGAGTCAGGAATAATTATTTTTGGCTTTTCTAGAAACATTTATCCAGATAAGTGAATAACCTCTATGTTTTGGGAATAAATTTTAGACTCTAAGAGAAGTGAAATTCAAACTTCCATGGTAACGTACAGAGGGAAAAAAGCCTAATGTCTGCTGTTATTGTAACATCTATTTTTCCTACTTTTCAGCAGCTACATTTGGGGTTAAATAGTTAAACCCAAATTGGAGTTACTGTTTTACCCATGAACAACAGTATTTTGGCATGATAAAATACTGACCATTAAGATTCAATCACCACATCTAAATCTACTGCTACGTTAATTTCAGCTCCTTTAACAAATCCTGAAGCCAGGCAAAAACATATAGGACAACTGTCAAACTGCTTGTTAGAAACAACAATGCTAGAGAATTGGAAAAAGAAAAGCATGGGGATATTTTCAGAGAAATTCACAAGAATAATCTTAAACTAAATTGTGCCAGTCTACCCAAGTGAAAATTTTACATTAGCACATGCCATCCTAATATCTCAGCATGCTTCCACTGGCCAGCATGGGAGCAGCAGGAGTCACTGTGAAGCTGGCTTCCTTCACTTACCAAGCAAAAGGAAAGCACAGTGCATGACAGACTGGATTAGTCCTGGTAAATTCCTCGAGAATAAATTGGCAGAGGTGAAAACTGCGAGAAGGAGGAATGGGCAGTTCAGGAGGAATGGGCAGTTCAACTGAGTCCTGCCGTTTAGCGTCTCTTGTGAGAGACACTACTTTGATGTCACGTTAGAAGCTGGCCCTTCTCTCCCAGTACTATTTTAATGTATTGAGTGAAAAGGGGGGTCGCTTTTTTTGGGATTGCTATATTTTGGGATTGTTGCATTTCCACAATTTGGGATATTCTAATGGAAATTTACCCCGGAATATTGAGCATTAACTAACTATCCTCAAAGACAGAAAATAGCACTAACTTCTTGGTATTTCTGGAGCTATGAAACTCTTGTATGAAAGCATTAAGAAAGCCCTGCAGTGGGCAGCAGGATGATTTTCTCTACTGTTTTCCATTTTTTCCCCTTTTTGTGAGTATTTTTATCGAGTACAGCGTTTTCTCAAGACGCATGCCTACAATCAAACACGTAAGCTTCCTTTTAAAACCCTTCACAGAATTGGCGGGGTTTCAGTGCATGCAACTCTTGGGAACTTCAGCAATCCTGCCAATGTTCGAAGCTGCATGCAGCACAACTGACACTCCTTTTCAACTTTTGTGGCACAAGAAAAGGTTTAGACACTTGCAGCTTGTAGGGCAGCACTAAATATATAGTCCCTGTGCCACAGCACGAAAAACCACGGTTCATCTACAGGTGACGCTAACTTGCTCTTGAAGGAAGTGTCCTGTGTAACCTGATTGTTCCAGAATACCAGTAATTCCTCTGCCTCAGATAAGTTTTCTTTGCTGATTTATGGCAGTGTTAAAAACAGTGATACTGTCTCAGAGAATCCACCATGGAGGAAAAGAGCAGCAAGTATTAATTGCTTGTTTTCCAGCTCCAGATGGCTTCTCTTACGGTGGCTCTTTCGGAGAATTGAGATCCACCTGCATGGAGGAGTTTCCCCCAGCTTTTGATTTTGGTTCCTACCTGGATATACTTTCTCAGGTCAATGTCACGTATCCTGATTCACCTCCACGGTAAGCACTTCTCTAAGATTCTGAGTGTTATAGTCCTGCACTTGCAAAACCTGTTAAAGAAGAAACTAAAACTGCTAGACCTATACCCACTACAAAAATGCAGGTCACACAAACTCTAAACACAGATAGACTTTGTTTAGTTTAAGTTTTCCTTAGCAGAATATATCTTTACTAAATAAAGGCATGTGTACAGCCAATTCTCATTTACTAATATTTCACATTAAAATTTATCATATTGATGGCATACTAATGAAACATGCAAGTAAAACTACTTATTAACATCTTTCTTTAAAAGCAATGATTTTACAATTCAAAGTTTCACTTCCAGGAGAAAAAGACATACTTTTTTCAAGAACTTTCTGGTTACATTTATTACTGACCTTGATACTGTTTAGATCAGAGTAAACAGAAAAAAACAGGGTGAGGGTGGGGTGAGAAATGCAAGATACCTTTAAACCTTTCCTTATTTTTCAGCAAGTCTCACTTCTCAGCTTTCTTAATGCCGGTATTCTATCAGAAAGTAGAACTGAAGAAAACATGCCATTCTGACATGCCTAGTAATTGTACTTAACATCCTAATTTAGGATAGGGAGAAAATTGCTTGTTCTTTTAAACATTGATTTGAGAAAAAGATTCAAGAGATTGGTTTTTCGTCTTATATCAGTAATCTGTGAAGGAGGACAACTATCATTTCAGCTGTTTCACCCAAACCTGCTCTGAAAGCCATAGTTGCATGAATTGTAGTAGCATCTTTGGAGAAGAGCATCCTTCAAATATCAGGTAGTTCTAATTGCCTGGGGAGGTAACATCGCCAGAAGAGGCTCTTTCCAAAGACAGTTACTGCATAAATATATATATATATAGCAGGTACTTCCACTTTTGTGTGCCTGCATTCACAAGATACAAGAATGACCATCACGAGTGAGAAGAGTCGTACTTGAGGCCATCGAGATCTCCTCTGTGTGCCTCATGCACCTTGAGGTTAATAAATGAAGAATTCAGTTACTCCCTCCAGTGAAATCGTTTTAAACAGAACATCACTTCAGGCTTTCTGTAGTGCTCTATCTTATAAACAGCAAATAATGGTTGAACAGCAGGCCGTCAGTGTCCACCTGCCCCCCCTTTTCTTTTTTTTTTTTCTTTTCTTCCTTTTAAGGAGACTTGTTTTGAGTTAAACTGATGTAAGATCAGCCCTTTCCTGACTGCTTGTATACATATGCACTATAGAGCAAGTCAATAGTTATGAACATACGATATATAGATCTTTGCTTTTGCTATTCTATGCATGTTCTACAAGCAACCCTTTATGTATTACACAGTCATACTATATAATAAATGGGCTTTTAGGAATGATGTAAATATTTTAGCAGAAAGCTCACATGTGAAAAATTATTCTGAGCCTGGCATCTAAATTGGTAGAACTCCACATAAATCCACTTAAAAAGTTAGACTGGTCTTTGGACCCACACCCACGAGTCTTTACTAATAAAAGCCAGACAGCTAACACCCAGGCAACAGCCCGAGTGGGCAGTTGGCCAGATTTCTGAGAACAAGCTCAGACTCCTGTGAACAAGCTCTGAGAATATATTGCTTTAGCAGACAGGTCTCCTAAGACTATACCAAAGGTTGCTTCCATTTCCAGTTTGAAACAGGCCCAAAGAAGGATTTTCTACCTCTATGGAGTTCTGTTAGGAAGGAGATACATGAGTGATACAGGATAGAACTACATGATCTGTGCTTTCCTGTAAATTCTCCAGCTAGTTCTGTAATAAGCCTGGCACAAGTAACTATCTTGTATCCTACCTTGTTCTAAGAAACTATTCTGGGACATCAACACTAGGATCAGAGAGACATGAAGGTGTACAACCACCACCTCCTCAAGATTCCTTTCTTGGCTGAGTAGACTGCATCCCTGAGGGCCCCAAGATCTGACTCTGCACACAACAGGAAACACTGCTTATCCCATTAATTGCAGTTCTGCATCACAGGTCAAAAGTAAAGTTTATTGTTAATGCTTTTGCTGTTTTCTCACTGCTACCATAGTTAAATATTTTAGAAAAAGTAGCACTGGCAAATCATCAAAATCTTATAAAGTTTTACATCATAGCAACACAGCTTGGAGAAGACTTCAGGAAAAGTAGAGCTTAGCAGATGGCTGAAAGAAAAGCTACATAGAGAGACATTTAAACTTACTATTAATACATTATATAGTCCATTGTAACTTTCTGTTCAGAAAAGCACTGGCTGAGAAGCATTGTATGAATACATTGTATTATGTGAGAGACTGAAAAAAAGTCTGTGTGGCTACCTTTACACTCTCCTCCATTGCCTAACACTAAATTGTACTTTTTCTAATTAATAGAGCACAGAGATTATTTGGACTGATGGGTGCTAACAGCAGGAAAACTGTCAGACATGGCCTTGAAGCATAAACAAGACACACGACCTTATGCATTTAAAATACTAACTGGGATCAATTTCATTACATATGATAATGTTTTGAAGAGTAGTTTTACTGAAATGTAGCACTGGCTAAATGAATGCAATTCCTCCTTCTAATGCGCGCAGTGCAAGACGTGACTTAAAGCTAAACTAGCATGCCCGAAAGCTAATAATGCAACTGTAGCATGAACAGAACAGCAATGAAGAGCAGCGAGGAAAGCAACTGCATTGGCAAATAACTCTCCATCACGTATCTGAAGTGAAAGAATTCAGTGAGTGAGAACTAGTGTCCTGCTGCCACAGGCAGACACCAAGGCGTTGGCTTCATTTAACCGCACTGCTCTAATACAGCCTGCAAGAGGCAGCCGCATGACATCGCTGCGTACTAGGTGCTGCGGAGTACTCTTGAACATAGCATGTTTGCTGAAACCATACTTTCTGAGGTCGTTTCAGTAGAAAGCACAACACCTCTATTTGGTCAAGGGGGTGATTATAATCAGTCTAGAATGTTTTCATTAGATTTTACAGTTGGGCTTTAAACCATTAAACGAGTGGAAAATGAATTTTAGGGGAAGGCTGATGAAACGGAGTCAGAGTACCCATTTCTGTGGCTGAGGGAAACCTAACTGTTCGGGACTACCCACTCTGGACTCTCCAACTGAAAGTCCAATACAAAATACTATTTGTATAAAAACTTTAATAGGGAAATTAATTTATGAAAAATGCCTTGGGATGTTCATAATTTAATTGCTTTTATATCTAAATCGCAAATTTCTTTTGAGCCTCAATTTGATTATCACCATAGACATTTCCACTAACCACTTTCTTACATTAGATTTTCTGTTAGATTTAGAGGAATATCATGTGCTGAGTTTTGTTATTTAGCCTGCCATAGATGCAGGGTTAGTTACAGAGAAGCTGTAACTTGACAGCCCAAAATACGCAATGCTCCTATCCATAAACATGTCTTTAAGATAATTAATGACTTTCTAATAAATCTCAGATCTGTGTTAGCATCTGTCAAATTGATTTTACATGAGGTGTAGAAGGGAAATACAAAAACAATATACAGTGAGTATGAACAAAGCAGTTTCAAGATATTAACGCTCTGTATTTTAAAGCATATTTCTAACATGTGCAGATACTTGTAGCAGTGCTGGAAGTTAAGGTAATGTTTTCTAGTCTGTGTTACCAGAGATGGCAAAGTATTTGTTTCCAAGAAACCTCACTCATCTGAGAAAGATGATCCAGATGGTATAGCAACAATTCTAAACCACAGAATTCTTTTCCCCACAGATTAGGGAACTTGAACAAATTCAGCCAGGTCAAGTATGAGAAATATCTCCTTGCCACAGCTTAACTATCACCATAGTAAACACGACTTTGAAAGAAATACTGGAAAGCCTGTAAAATCAAGTATTTGCCAATTTGTTCAACATTCACTGTGATAGTATAAATAATCTAATTGAATTTTTAGTATCAAACTTTTAAGAAGATTAAAAGAAAAAATCAAGAGTATTATTTGGAGTTATAGGGCAGGCAGCAGACATTTAATCAAGAGTCTTCTGGAGTTTGATCAAAGATGGCTGTAGTTGTCATTTCATAAATCTCAAACACATGGTGTTGACACTGTGTGGATAATATCTTCATAGACAGAAATCATGAGCTCATGCTCATGTTCACTGTGCCCAGAGCTCATTGTAACACATGCACTTATAGTGAGCTTTCCTAATTATCTTTACATAATAAGAAAGCTGTTTAAAAATAATTTGAGCTTACATGCTTTAAATGGCTTAAAGTACAGTACCAATCAAGGACCAAGTAAATTAAAAACAATTGCATATTCTTGATTAGCGTCTCCAAAATCCTAACAATGAGCAGATTTGAGATTCCCGGCGTGAAAGGAATTTTATCAACTTTTCACCTTTTGGCCAGAGGAAATGCATTTCACCCCACTACTAAGTGCTTTTTCACTTCTTAGTAATTGGATATTAATGGTATGTACAGAACTTCAGGCAGCCAAGGTTATCGCCTTTTTTATCTGCGACTCATGACCGTCTAATACAGAACATCATTGAGGAAAGACTCTTGTGTGAGATGGATTTAGCTTCAGGAAGAGTTTTAACAAAAGCCATAAAAGTCCTCTCTATATTTCACATTGAAATGTGTCGTGCAGAGCACATTATGATAAAAACCTGTTAATCACCCATTATCCTAGTATTCACGTTAGAACACATTTTGGGGGGGTGGTGTTTGTTTGTTTGTTTTAAGTGTGCTCGCTCTACCTCATCTGGTCATCTTGCCTAATCTATATAGGACCAATTCTAGAGAAAATTCTCTTGTTTATAGGCTTGGTAAATTCTAGTACTCTTAATACCCATGTTCAGTCTGCATTGTTTAAACAGGCAAATCAATTTAAAAATTACTTTAAAGTGGCAAAAGGAAATGTCTTAAAGACAGACCCTAATTTCCCTCTAAATATGAAAACCAAAAAAACCCAAACTACTTAAGGTACTTCCTTTTCTAAGACATTCTTTTCCATCCCCCAATTCTGAAGA